GGGCACAGTAAATGCTGAATCACTGAGTGCTTTATATAGCTGCCTGGCAGGACAAAGTCGCTCTCACCCATCCTCTCTGCAAGAACCTCCAGGACAAAAAAAAAAAAAAAAAAAAAAATCCTTACGTTATTGATTGTGCTCTGGCAGCACAAAGCATAAAGCTACGGATGCCTGAGTTAGAAGAAAACCAGCTGAGCTACAGGCTCCTCTACACAGGGGAAAGGTGGTGGCGTGGGCATGAAAGCAAGAGACCTCACTGTAAACACTGAGAGGTACGTGTTCTGAGGTGAACGCGCTCCAGCAGCTTCGATACACAATTTTAATGTGGGGAAGAAACTCAGTGCTTGGAACCGTGTGGAGGTACCCCATACACTTGTTCAGCCAGGTGCGTGCAGGGATTGTTTCCACAGGGCACGCTCATATAATGTAGCAGAAAGGTCCTGCAATTAACATCGACTGCTAAAATACCCACAGTTCTCCCGCCGCCCCAGGATCCACAACTCTTTTGATGGTGTTTTTTCCTGTCTCCTAGGAGTCCCCCAAGGATGAGATCACTTTCTGCAGCACAAGGCCAGCAATCAGGATGCAGCTTACACTAATGCGTTTGATGCCTCACAACTGGACATCTACAGCTCTGCTGCCCTGGCTGTAAGAGCAGACGTTGGGGTGATAGCAGCAGCTGCAGTTTCAATAGTACATAGCTAGAGGTAGAGGCCAAGTAGAAGGCACCCATGAAAAACTGGATAAGGTAAGAGACAGGCCTGGCTTCTGGGCTCAGGAGAGTAACATTGCTCAGGAGGAGAGCGCTTCTCCACAGCCCTCATGACTGCTGGACTTGAGGAAGACTTATCTGGAGCTTCTTCTGGACCTGTGGAGGTCATGTGCAGGTGTGGGTGCTCCTTCACCTCCTCAAAACCTGCAGCACAGGCTACTCGGAGACCTAGGGCCCCTGGCTGCTGCTCCCCACTGTGCCACAAGAATGTCCCCGCACAGATGTGGCACCACTCTGTCTCCACGGGTCGCACAGTCTGGTTACTCTGGGCCAAGGACACCTGTGGGTTTTCCCTCTTGCAGTACTTTCGAATACTCATTATTTCTAATAACTGCCCCTGGTATCAAAGCTTAGAGCAAGAGGTTCCCCGCAGAGCCCAGCTACTAACACCAACACAAGGCAGTGGGGAAACTTCCACAACAACAGTCAGCACTCTTCTCCCAGAGAGCCTGGCTTAATCCCCCTCTGCCGTAGCTAACAAAGCCCTTTTTTTTCCCTTTATTTTTTTTTAAACCAGGCAGCTGAATCACAATTGAGATCAATTTTGTTATTTCCTAAACAGTCACAAGCTGACAGGGTAACAGAGGCAGACTGAGCGACGGCAGGTGGTTGCGGCATGAGACCCTCAAGGCTTCCTGCCTTCCTGGCTCTTGCCAAGGCCCAGCAAGCAGGCATAGAGAGACACGTCATACCGGCTCTGACATGACCCTTCCTACACAGCCGTCAGCAAGGAAAGAGCACAGAGGTGCCGGTGCACTGCTGGGGTCAGGGGAAACAGGCGGAGGCTGCAGAGCTTTTAAACAGAAGAGCAGCATCTGTAAATGGGCCCATGGGCAGGGAAAGGCTCTGCTCAGCGGAGCATCTCCTATCGCACTGTGCATAGCAAGGCTCAGGGATGCTGGCTGAGGTGGAGTCGTCATCTCTTCCTACAGTTTGCAGACAGCAGCAGGAGTTGCGGAGCTGGAGCCTGTGGAGGTGCACTGCTAGCAGGGGAAGGATGGCTCGGAAACATGGCTCAGCAAGCTATAAACATTCAAAGGACCTCATCAGCATTAACTTGCTGTGGCTGTCCCGTGTGTCTTTGGAAGAGACAACCTCTCTGCTGGCAGATGCTGCTTGGATGGGGACAGGGTGCTGGGACAAGGTGTACAGGATTGCCAGGGGCTGCTCTGTAGCTTCTGGGTCGCAGGAGTTTCTCACGTGCCCTGAAGTGCCATGAGCACATTTGTGGGGACGGTGAGTCCAGCACTCACCAGGGAGCAGGCAGGGACCTTCTTCCAGTCACTTACCTTTCATTTCGATTTCTGTAAGATGAAAGTTTCTGCCTTGAACTGCAAAGAGGCACAGCCTTTCCTAAGGGGAATAGATTTAGATAGCAGATACACTGGAGAAGGAATTGCTCACGTGGGATATTGATACTACAGCCTCCTGGGTGAGAGACGGCTCTCTTTAGACTATATCCATCATCAGTGGCAATAAAAACAGTTATAAATCAGGGCACTCCCGGTCCTGCTGCCACAAGCCTTCTTCTCGGCTCTCCCAGACTACCTCTCAGCCTTCAGAGAACATGCACCACTGCCTCTACAGCTGCTCAGAAACCTTAGATTCAGGGCAAAGCCCTAATTAAGATGCTTTGAATGGCTTAATGGGGAGAGACAGCCTGCTCCAAAGACTGAACGAAGAGCCATGGGGGAACCAAATACCGAATTCAGTGACTTAAGCCAGGTGCCTAAATTTAAGCAGCACAAAGGCTCCTCTGTGTGCCTGTGCAATGCCTGATGCAAAGATCCCGTAATAGTAATGGCAATGAAAGGCAGCCCACCGTCTCGCTCAGTCCTTTCTTCTTATGTGCAGGCAGCCCAATCCATCACACGGTGCTTTGACTCTTCCCCACCTGAATGAAATGCATATTCCTTGCTAGATACAGGAGGAGGCCAGAGTTGGGAGTCACCAAAAGCACCAGTGAGTTTTTATGTGTGCACATGCACGTGCATGTATGAACTGCATCAGCCTTCTGTGCATGTGTAGAAAGTAGAATCATAGAATCATTTAGGTTGGAAAAGACCCTTAAGATCATCGAGTCCAACTGTTAACCTAGCACTGCCAAGTCCAGCACTAAACCATGTCCCTAAGCACCACATCTACACGTCTTTTAAATACCTCCAGGGATGGGGACTCAACCACCTCCCTGGGCAGCCTGTTCTAATGCTTAACAACCCTTTCGGTGAAGAAATTTTTCCTCATGTCCAATCTAAACCTCCCCTGGCACAACTTGAAGCCATTTCCTCTCGTCCTATCGCTTGTCACTTGGGAGAAGAGACCGACACCCACCTCGCTACAGCCTCCTTTCAGGTAGTTGTAGAGAGCGATGAGGTCTCCCCTCAGCCTCCTCTTCTCCAGACTAAACAACCCCAGTTCCCTCAGCCGCTCCTCATAAGACCTGTGCTCTAGACCCTTCACCAGCTTCATTGCCCTTCTCTGGACACGCTCCAGCACCTCAATGTCCTTCTTGTAGTGAGGGGCCCAAAACTGAACACAGTATTCGAGGTGCGGCCTCACCAGTGCCGAGTACAGGGGGGACGATCACTTCCCTACTCCTGCTGGCCACACTATTTCTGATACAGGCCAGGATGCCGTTGGCCTTCTTAGTAGGTGCATTGCAGTTTTCAGTTCACGGCTGCTGGTCACCCGACAGAAAAGCAATCGCCCCAAATTCCAGTGATGAGTTTCCAACAAAGGTTCAAAGTCCTCTGGAGGGTTTTTCTGCATTCGCTAGTGGATTTTAAGTTAATTTTTATATCAGCTGCTTCCAGGTGGCTTCGTGGTTGATCATTTCCTATGACTGTGCTGCAATATTTCCTAGCCCCAGAGCAAAGTGCTACTCTAAGCATGTTTTGGGCTGGGGAGAAATCAGCCCCAATTTGGAAAAGTGACTTTGCCCCATATTTAACAGGGTCCCTAGAGTGTCCCGGCCACCCCCCTGTCCCGCCCGTTGTCCCAGCGTGCGTGGGGATGCCGTGGGCCGCGCTGCCCGGGGCGCTTG